GAACTTTTGTAAATGCCACAATGTACCCCACCCAGCACAATAAAAAAAAGAAAAAAAACAAAACCATAGTATCACGTGGATAGATGCAGAAAAAATCATTGACAGAATTCAATGTCCATTCATGATTTTAAAAAAACCCAACTAAATAGACATAGAAAGAAATGACCTCAACATGATCAAGACCACATATAAAAGTTGCACAACTAACACTGTAATCCATGAGAAAAAACTGAAAACTTTTCCTCTAAGATCAGACACAAGACAAGGATGCCCATTCTAGACAACACAGTATTAGAAGTCTCAGCCAGAGCAATTAGAGAAGAAAAAGAAAGAAAAAGCATCCCAGTTAGAAAGGAAGTAGTGTCAACATTATGTGTTTGCAGAAAACATAATCACATATGTAGAAAATCCTAAAGACACAACCCAAAACCTGTTGGATCTAACACCTGGGGCTCAAGCTTTGTTCTTCACAGTTTAGTTTTGAGCCAATTCCTCTCTTTAATTTGACCTTCACTAAGCATTGCCTCACCCAGGTACTCCTGAAAACATATTTACTGGGAAAAAAATGCCACCCCTGCCTGGGAAATTATCTTTATCTACTGCAATCTGGAAGACCTTAAAACTCAGCAGTTCAGTTTTCATGTACTGTGTGTGACTTTGTCACATACCAACTGGCTCTACTTAGCTAGAGAATGTGGGTAGGTGAGGAGGACCTCCTTCAGTTATTCAGGGCAGGTGTTTATAAGTCACAGCAGTGGATGACAGCAGACAGTGGTGGTTTCAGAGGCCTTTAAAGCTAGGGCAGTTGCTTGGGGTTCTAGATCCTGGGTCAGCCAAAGTGTGAAGCATTACAGCTCTTTTGCTCCTTGGGCCAGGACCCACAGTAGGAGGTGTCTCTCTGCCACCTGTCCCGATTAGCCAGTATCAATTTGACTTTTTGGTGGCTCTAGCCACCATGACACTGCTGCTGACAGGACCCAAGGGCAGTGAGGAGCCAGAGGCCACTCCCACTGGTGGCAGCCTCTCTGCCACTGCTCTTGCTATGAGGCTCCTGCTAGGAAGCTGTCATCCACTGCCACCGGTCTCAGGGCATAAATATATTAAATATATCAAAATAATGTTTACATTTTATCTCATCCTTCAGGTTACCTTTTAAAACCTTGAAGTTTTTCAAATAGATTTAAATTTTAAATTTTTGTAGGTGGTTCTTGTATGTTTTAAGAGTATTCTCAGTTCAGAGAAATTGGAGCAGTTTAATGTGGAAGAAATAAAACCCATGATAACTTTAAAAGACAATGCTATAAAAGGAATTGCAAGTCAGTTGTGAGTCTTCTCTTAAATATGACAATGTTCTTTGGTATTATTTGATTCTATCAAGTTTTAAGTCAAAATTTAAAAATAATGAAATGTCTGTGCATAAATATTTTTAACTTGTTTTTAAGTGTTAAGTGACATTTTGTTATTATCTGACTGGGAAATGTGCAAAGTACTTTCACCTTAAGAAAACTTCAAACTACTTGGTTTCCCTAATTTGATAAATATTTATTAAGATCCTATTTGTCTTCAAGGTGCTATTTTAGCCAGTAAAGATACAGATATGAGTAAGATCAATGAAGTCCCTGTCTTGCTCCATTTTGTGTTGCTATAACAAAATATCCAAGGTTGGGTCCATTATAAAGAAAAGAGGTTTATAAAGCCATCACACCAGCATCCACTTGGCTCCGGTGAGAGTCTCATTGCAGATGGCCTTGCAGCAGCAGAAGCAAATGCAGATGTCACATGGTGAGACAAAAAGCTGGAATTTTTTAAATAATAATCTATTCTTAGGGTAAGGAATTTGCTCCTGTGCCATAGTGCTTACTCTGTGAGATTAGCAGTAATCCATTTGTGAGAGTGGAGCCCTCATGACACCTCCTTGGAGACCAGGCTTCCAGAACACTAAATTTGGGGGACACACTGAAACCATACACACACCATAGCACTTCCCATTGTCATGAGACTTATTTCTCATTAAAAAGACAAAAACAAAATTAAGAAAAAAATTAAAAAACAATGTCCCCAAAGCAAAATTTACTGATACAGTCTTAATATGTATGCCCTGCCTCAATTCATATGTTGAAATCCTCCCCAAAAATGTGGTGGCACTAGGAGGAGGGACCTCAGGTGAGGGGGCAAAGCCTTGATGCATGGGAGGCTAACAGCAAATCTTCCTACCTTCTACCATGTGAGGCAGAGGAAGAACAGACTGTGAGGAAGTCAGCCATCAACAGTCACACAACTGGCCAACGCCTGGAGCTGGGACTTCCCAGCCTTCAGAGCGACGAGAAAGAAGTTTCTGTTGTTTTAAAGCCATTCAGTTTATATTATTTTGTTATAGCAACTGGAAGTGACTAAGACACACCTGTAGCATAACGTCAGGAAGTGGTAAGTGCTCTGAATACATAATAATGTAGGGCCATGGGAGCATGGTTTGAGTGGGAATGTTTTATTTTTTTCTATGTATTTTATTGTATATTTTTATTTATTATATTATTGTTGTACTGGGGTACACCGTGACATTTACAAAAGTGCTTACAATATATCATAGCTGAATTCACCCCCTCCATCATTCTCCTTTACCCTCCTCCCCCCACTCTTAGAACAGTTTCAACAGGTCTCATTTTTCCATTTTCATACACAAGTACATTTCCACCACATACACTTTCCTAAACCCTTTCCTTACATCCTCTCCCTCCCACTGGTACCAACCCCTCAGACAGGATCTGTTTTACCTTCCTGTTTTTGAAAAAAGACATTTTTTTTTGTTTAAGATATCTACTCAGAGAGTTTTATTATGACTTTCCATGTATATATGTACATATATATATGTATTGTATCCTGAATTGATTCGTTAAGTGCAAACACTTTAGACAAGGTGGTCAATGAATGTCATTGAAGAGCTGACTGCTGGCCAGAAATGTGAGCGAAGAGAGTGAGTGAGTCTTGGGAGGATCCCAGGTGAGAACAATCTTCCAAATGCATTTTATAATGACTGGAGAACTCTGGTGTAAAGACACAACTTGTGAAATAATGAGCAGGACAAAAGCAGACTTAACATTTTTGAAAGATAAAAATCAACTTCCTGTTTTGGCATGACAAGTCATGGGACTCAAAAATCACACAGACATAAACACCCACTGCTGTGGATCTGTGCCAGGGAAAAGTAGGAATCCTTACCAAGCAAGTCAAATGCACAGATAAGAGCTAATGCTCTCAACAAACTTTACCAACAGAGAGAAATATTTCTAGGTTATAAATCGACAGAAACCGAATTTCCTTTGGGGTTTTGACTAGGTTCTGACCATCTGCAAAAGTGAAAATTTATTGCTAGAAAATCCTCATGGCTAAGTCTAAAACAATGACAGGAAACCTCAACCTACATCCCAGCCCTGAGGTGGAATGAGCCCAGGGTCAGCACAGAAGGTGGTTGAGAGCTAGCCAGCCATCCACTCCACTCATAAGCACAGTATGAACAGCCCTTCTTGAAGTTATAGATATTTTTTAAATTAGGATGTATCAAAATTAGGTGGACCTTAATCGTACAATATATATTTAAAAATATGCATAGTAATTGAAGAATTCTGCTTTATACTTAAGAATTGTGGACAGTTTTTCAATTTACTTTTATCCAGGTTATATTTTTTCAGAAATAGCATGTTCTTTCAATTTTCTCTTTTATTAATTTTTGCCAGTAATAGTAAAAAAGTAAATGTTGCTCTTGAAATGTGAGCATTTCTGAGGCAATAATATAATTATTTACTGAATTATGTGGAAATAAACTTCAGCAAAAATATCTCAAAGGTGAATTTTTCATTTATTTAGTGCATTCTCTGAATGTTCTATAACATCCTTTTAGATTGTTGATGTGTACATTTTACCGATAAATTTATAGTTGCTTTAAATTCACAAAAACAGAGAAAATGAATAGAAACAACAGCATTTTGGGAGAATTAGGAATGTACAAATTAATACGTGTCATTTTTTTTCTGATATTCCTAGAACTTCTCAGGAATGTATTAGACTTCATAAAGATGATTGCTGCCTCACACCAAATCATATTCTGGAGACTTGGCGTTAATGCGAGAGTTTTATAAGAGTTCATGCAGAGTTATTTGAGGATGGAGACAACCAGCTTCCCCCCTGCAAGGTGGCACTACTTGTCCAGCTTCCAGTGGCTCCAGTGCCCAGAGGATCTAGTTGAGACTGCCAAAGCTGAAGGACAAAGATCACTACAATTTTAACTAACCTACATCTCCTGAAAGCTTTCCTATAATTCTTTCCTGTGTAGCTCTCTCGGACCTCTCCCTGAGAAACAAATTCCCGCCATCATTGTGTCTGCCTGTAGCATTTAACATTCTGACAGTTTCTCATTTATTGAAGGAATAGGTTCCTTCAATGTAGAAGCTATCTTTTTCATATTTAGATAGCAATTAAGAGTAATAAAATGACATATAAATTATGCTTAAACATTTATGAAATAACTTTCAAAATGAACATATAAACTAGTGGAAGATATATGGTAAGAATTTTAATAAGTAGCTCAGATTTATAGACAAAGGATATTAGCTGAAATTAATTGTAGTTGAATGTACCATGGAATTCTGAATAGCCCCTTTTTTTGAAAGTTACTGTCTGAAGGTAACTTTCAAACATTGGAAAACAGTCTATTTCTCATCCTATATAGATTTAATTCAAAGCGCTGTAGCTGCGACGGGCATCCCTCTGTATGTTAGAAGGGGATGAGGAACCAAGGAGGCTCTTGGTCCAAAACAGCTTTGGATGTGGCTGAAAGGAGGGTACTTAGCTGAGGAAATGACGAGAAGGAAATTGTTTTGTGTCTCAGGAACCATGTGGAATTCCAAGATAAGAAAAACAGTTGCTAATTTGAGTATAAAAGCAGGAAACATGATACACTTATTTCCTTTTATGCAAACACAAGTATATGAAGGGTTGTGTGAAAATTGTTTTTCTTTGGGTGAACCGCAAAGGCATAGAATCAAACTGCTTCTTTTGGACATACTGTCTTTTCTTTCTGTCTTCTCTTTCTTGTGGATATTATGGCAAATAACACAACAAGTTTAGGGAGTCCATGGCCAGAAAACTTTTGGGGTAAGGTGTTTTCTTTAATTACTTTTAATTTAATTAAAATGTAAAGAAAGGAGCTGCATGTTATAAAATAACTGGCAATCTCTGAGACATTTTGGTTACTGCAAACTGATTACTGGAAGTTTTCATAGATTTAATATAAGAAATATATTCATATAAAATATCTTTAGGGTGGGTTTCAGAGACATTAAAGAAGAATCTGGGGTATAGATTTTGACTTGTGTTATAAAATATAATTAGAAAAAAATGAGAATTTAAAACAGAATAAAAACAAAATGTCAAAATATAAGGTGGAAGTAATTGGTGTTAGAAATATGGCGAGATAAATTTTGTTGGAAAAATTATTTTATTTGTCTGTAGGTTATGGATTATCTATCTTATTTAATGAAATGAGGATGTTCTACAGAGGTTATTATACTTATGTTGTCAAGGTTATACTGTTTAATTTCCAAATTTTAATAAATAACTAAGATTTTCAAACAAAGACTATCAGCTGAAGTTAATTGTAGCTGTACAGAACATGAAATTATGACTAGTGCCTTCCATTTACTGTATTTCAAACATTGGAAAGCAGCATAAATAACATATCTGTAATTAAATGAGTCTAGAGCATGATGACACAGATAAAACATGGAATAAAGTTATGAAGTTAGAAGAGATTAAGCGGAAGTCATATACAATGTTATAGTACAAGGCTGCCACAGAGAGTAGAGGAACAATACCAAAGTGTTTTTTGGCTAAGTTCTGTCACAGTTAGTAGTCCCCTGTTGCTGATGCTAAGAGCAGGAAGGTGCTGAGGTCAAAACCACCAGCCACTTTAGGCTGGAGGCTCAGGGAAGAAGGGCAGAGGTGATGTTGACATGTCTATCTGTTCAGAGAAATCTAAAAATAAAGGGGAAAATTTGACTTAAATCCAGAAAAAAAACCTTTACGGGAATGCAGTTTATCAAGAGAACTATAACACTCTTTACATGTCCAGAACAAATTTTTAATTCCGTCAGAAAACTGTCAAGCCTTCAACTGTGATTGAAAGTGAAGTGTGGGGACCACCAGGTAAAAAGTGAGCAGCAGTGGGCTCTTGATCCTCACAAAGTGACCTACCTGTCTTGTCATCACAGAAATGTACATGAAAGGAATTGATTCATTCTTTTTCTTAATCAATAACTATTTCTCTTTGCTTTAAGCTGAAAGAGAAGGTTTATTAATGAACATCTTAATAAAATTATGTAGTAAAATTATTGAAAAAAATAAATTATGCTTGCATATTATAGAGAATAGATTTGGTAAAGATTATTCTAGGTAGATAGCAACTTACAATAAGCATTTGAATTCTGGAGATCTAGTTATATCTTTACACAAATATTATTTGTTGTCCATAGAAAAACTAAATACACGAAACACCTGCTGAAAACAAGTAGAATGTGTCTAAACTAAATTCATCATTATAAAATGAGTATGTAAATTACTCAAAAGAAAAATAAATCAGTTGCAAAATTTAATATGTAAAAAGCCAGATGTATTTTTTCAAGCCATTCAAAATTAAATTTCAGGCTTCCAGAGGAAAATAATTCATTATCCACTTATCACAGTGATAATCATTAAAGGAAATCTGATTCCAGTAAGAGAATGTTTAACTGGAGTCTCTCCATTGGTATTAAAATTTAGATATTTTTAATAAAAGAATCAGCGCTTAAGAAGGAATTCAAACTTACTATGCTAAAGCTAGGTCCTAACATTCTTTTCTCTTGCCATGTCACTATAGAGGAAAAATAGATAGGAATGATAAAAACTAAAAGTATTACAATGAAAAGTTTTGAAACTGATGTAAAAATGGTGAACAGATACAATGTTCACTAATTCGGGTAAAATAGGGAAAACATTGCATTACTGCTTCTAGGAAAAAAAACATTAAGTACATAATGTAAATATATATTAAATTTACAAAATGTAAATATTTCCTGAGGGGCAAATGTCAATCTTTTCCTTTTTATTTCTTTTTTTGTGTCTAAATTGATATCTATTTTAATCACTGACTCTCTCAAAATATTATTTTGTCTCTTGCTTCCAAAGTCAGTTGCCCGTTTGTCATTTTGAATTAAAAGATTAAAGAATAGAGAAAAAGAAAAATAGACAGTCATAACTTGTACATGTAACCTAAGAAACTTCCCAGACTTAATACACTTAAGATACATAAAAAGTTGTTTTTTGAATTCAACTTTCCTGGTTTACTTTAATGAATGCAAAAATAATGATACTAGGTGATTATTAATAAGACTAACTTGCATTTTCAATAGTGTCACCCATTAAAATTTAACTAAATGTTGCGTTTGCAAGCAGTAAAGTCATTAGTGTGAATTGGCTACAAACTTAGCCTGAGAATGACAACACAGAAGCTTACTACCCCTTGTATGTCCCACCTTAGCATTCTTTTTTTTTTAATTTTTATTTTTTTATTATTCATATGTGCATACAATGCTTGGGTCATTTCTCCCCCCTGCCCCCACCCCCTCCCTTACCACCCACTCCGTCCCTCCCTCCCCCCCCAACCCCTTCGATACCCGGAAGAAACTATTTTGCCCTTATTTCTAATTTTGTTGAAGAGAGAGTATAAGCAATAATAGGAAGGAACAAGGGTTTTTGCTGGTTGAGATAAGGATAGCTATACAGGCAGTTGCCTCACATTAATTTCCTGTGCGTGTGTGTTACCTTCTAGGTTAATTCTTTTTGATCTCACCTTTTCTCTAGTTCCTGGTCCCCTTCTCCTATTGGCCTCAGTTGCTTTTAAGGTATCTGCACCTTAGCATTGTTTAAGACAACTCCCTTCTCTGTAAACCTTCCCCATAAAGACTGTAGGAAGCATTGCCTGTGAAGTTTGCTGAGCCTTACTCTCATGAAATAGGAACCAAATGAATTCAGTTATTCTGTTAGTACCGAGAGTCCCAGACAAGACAGTTTTGTTTATGTCTGCTATATTATCATTGTTTTGTCTATCTCTTTGACTAGCATTGTGGAAAAATGGGGAAGGTATTGGTATAGAAGCTTGAATTTAGTCACCTAATTTGATCTTCATCAAAAGTACAGTGTCTCTTTCAAGAGGATTATATTCTTGGAAGTGATTATGCATTCATATATATGCAAATATCATGTATATGATAACATGTTATCAATCATTGCCTTTTATCCTTTATTATCTTTATAAAATAACAATAAATGAAATATATTATAGGAGTCAAAATTATGCTGAAATGGTCCCTGAATCCTTAGAGAAAAAATGGGACATTACCTCTTCCTAGAAAGTCAGATAAAAGTTCCACATAGAGTTATTCAAAAAGGATGTTCTAGTCATTCATTTTTCACTCATTAACCTGTCTGCATTCAGCTCATAGTTCACTAAGAAGCATGGGCTCACCACATTTGACAATGTGTTAAGACATAAATAACACATCTCTGGAGAATTTCAGGGAACTCAGGAGAAATATGCAAAGTAAAAACCTTCAGACATACTAGTGAGGAAGTGAAGGGCTGACTCAAACTTTTGCATATGGAAATTCAGGGACAAAGCTGGAAAGGCAAGTTGGAGGCAGATTTCTGTAAGATTTTAAATGTCAGTATAAAAGTGTGACCTAATTGAACCCAATCACTTGCACCTTCTCCGCTTCCACCTTCCTAGGGTTTTTCTCTAAGGTCAGAAAGGAGGTGTGGGAGGCACAGGGTTAATAGTCTAACGTGGGTATTGGAGGAGAACCGCTGGTTCTCCATCAAGTTCTGTCCTCTGCTGACATCTACTGACAAGTATTTCTCATTTGTTTTGGGAGCATCACTCTTTCTCTTCCTATCTTCAGGGCTGAAGTCTCTTACTATAAAACCTGGCTTCTACTAAGTGTGCGACATTGCTAATGGCATGATTTAAGGAAGCCCTCGATCTACTGACCCTCATTCAACTACTTTTCCATCTGTCTCAACAGTACAGAACAATTACTAATACTTCCATAATCCTAGAGCCTCAGGAGTCTGGCTTCCTGTTCTGTCTGCAGGCACTCATGGTTTCTCCACTTGTTATCTTCCCCAGGAAGCCAAGATTCCCTGAAGGTTTAGGTAGCTCATCACAGGGCAGGACAAAGTCAGAGGCCCCTTCTCTGAAGCCTTCACTGGTCCTACATCACAGAGCTTTTCTCTTTCTCTCTTTGAAACGCTTCCTTACACTGCTCGTGAAAACTAATCCAAGCCATGTTTTATTTGAGTCCTTTAGGCTACTAGCATTTTGAAGCTGATCTAAGGAAACAAACAAAAAAGGCCTAATCATTCTTTTCCCTCTGAATATATCTAGCTATTTACAGTAAAAATGTTGCTTTTCAAAGTGATTCTCTACTCTCTAGATTTAACAATTCATTTAGTAATTTAAAAGTGAAACACTGACTTTCTCAGTGCATCCTGGCTGACAGTCTTAATCCTCTCTGGGGTAACTAAAGAGGTGCCTGTGAACTGATGTCTGTGGACTGCTCAGCCTGTGCTCAGATGGGAGTAGGATGTTCTTAGAGAAGTTGGGTGTGAAGTGTGGTGAGGAAGACTTAGGGGCTATTCATGTGCCTCAAAGATGTTCTCTGGATCCTCCCAAAGTAGTAAACAAATACTGTTTATTTCAAACTCATTTCTACCATTTGTATTTTTAAACCATCTTCAACAATTATGCATCATTTCATGAAAACAGCCTATTATATCTTTATCTGTTACTTAGAAAGTTTTCAAAACAAGTGTTTACAACTGCTGATCTTAAAATGATTGCATCTGAATTTCTGAGAAAGAATTATGAAAAGTCATCTCTCTTGGGGCTCCACGAGCTGAGATTATGATAACAGATGTGAATTTGGGCCTACAAGGTTGTATCTTTAATGCCTCCCTAGCCATAGAATCACCGTATTAAAATTCATAAGAGTTATATTTTCTTGTTATAGCCTTGTTAGGTTTTGGTATCAACGTTATTATATAAGCCCCATAAAACAAGT